AACGGAGCAGTCTGGTACAGTTGTACTGTGCAACACTGCATCATTTCGTGAAGAGAAATACGTCTGCCTCTCGCACTGCTGGGGGACGGTCAAGCCATTAACTCTCAACGCACAGACGCATCGGGCATTAACAGATGGCGTTGACATCGAAGCTCTGCCAAAGACATTTCAAGACGCTGTTTCTGTTACCCGGCTCTTACAAGTACGATATATCTGGATCGATTCGCTGTACGCTGTCACTTTCGACATGGAAGTACCTGTGCTAACTACTGAAGGTGCATCCTGCAAGACGACAAAGACGATTGGGGATATGAGTCCCAACGCATGGGGGACATCTATGCGAATTCAGTGTGTACGATCGCGGCGACCGCTTCAAAGGATAGCAGCGGTGGCCTATTCTTTGAAAGAAGTCCGGACTCCATCTTGCCGCGACTTGTTCAGTTCGACTGGCCCCAAAACCTACCCTGGACGAAGGCAAAACGCGGAACATTTCTATGCGAAGTTGGAGCAATGCCTCAAAGATACATCGAAGAAGCGCCATTGAACAAAAGAGCTTGGGTGAGCCAGGAAAGGCAGCTTTCCACTCGGGTCATACACTTTACCAGCGGACAACTTTTCTGGGAGTGCCGTGAGATGACAGCATGCGAGACGTATCGTGATGGCCTCCCCGGCTGGGCGCAAGCTCGATGGGGGTCAGACGGTACTGTACTGAAGAAGGGTATGCGCGTTGTCAGGAAACGGGACCGGCGCCACTCGGAAACTGATCTAACTACCGACAAACCACTGATTTCGTTCTCCAGATACATGTATCTCAACTGGCTCGCTTTCAGAGACCTTTATTCAAGTTGCGCGCTCACAAACCCGAGCGATAAGCTTGTCGCTATTCAAGGCATCGCAAACTGGGTAGGTCGAGTGATGGACGATCAATTGGTTGCCGGTCTTTGGCGAGGTTGTATTGTCGAAGAGCTCTGTTGGAGCAAATGGACCAGCAGAGAGGACAGACCAGGATCCGAGGTATGGAGAGCGCCGACCTGGAGCTGGGCTGCTAGCGACAACCAGATTAATCAAGGTTTCTTGACAAAAACACATGGCCAACACTCTAGTCACTGTATTACACCTATGGTCGTTGACATCGATGTCAAGACTAGAACTTCCGGCGAATTGGAACATGCCTCCATGAAGCTCAAGTGCAGATTGTTGCATGCGCTATACACCCGTAGCGACAGCTTAGAAGGAAAGCTCGAACTAAGAAACGAAAGCAAACTACAAGATGAACTGGAGCCCATAACGCTTGACCAAATTTCGTGGCCAGCGATGTGGTCATGCATGGACAGGCCTTACGGCGGAATTACAAGCCTACAGTATGGCTATGTAGTGCTTATCAACTACTGTCTACACGAGGCGACAATTGGTGCAGATTGGACCAAGCAAGCTCAAGCCAACACTAATGCTGGGGATACTCACCGATCAACATCGGGAATTGACTGGGGGAGTCAAGACTGTGCTCAAGCCCTGTTCCTTCAAACCCATGACAACATCGCCTTCAAGAGAGCAGGCTTATTCACCTTTCACAATTATCGAGCGGTTCACCAGATCATTGACGCTCATAATCTTGCAGAAGATAGGGTCATCACTCTCATCTAAAGCAGATGATTGCCCCAACGAAAGAGAGAATGTAATGATTGCGCGACTCAGAGCGGTCGAGCTATCCTCAGAGCCTCGCCGGGTTATTCACAGCGTCCTCCATCGTCACTCTAGTCTCTCCATCGTAGGGTCTCAACGCCTCACGACCTTCCGCCGCCTCGTGCAAGAGAAGCTTTTTGATCGCGTCCGAGCGAGGAATGAATCTCACACGGAAAGGCTCCGGTCGCATGTTCTCGCTGTCGGTGTATGCGAAGATATCCAAATCGACTTCCTGACGCTGTCGCAATGTGTCAGCGACGCAAACTTCCACAGTTTGGGCGAAGGTCTCAAGGCGCTTACATTTTCATCGAGCCCCAGCAAAATATCAAAAGCCCAAATCATGCGCGCAAGCGAATAAAGCAGACCTTGCTCGGCAAGCGGCTGACCGCTGCATTGCCTGCGTCCCCAGCCAAAAGGATTCATGCCGTACTTGTTCGGATAGGGTTGTTTTGCGCTGCCTTCGCCCTCGACAAACCTCTCCGGCATGAATCGATCAGGGTCGGGAAAGTCGCGCGGATGTCTGTGGATGGCCCACATGTTGCCGGTGAAGTTGGTACCGGCGGGGAAGTGGTAGCCTTTGTAGTCGAAATCGACGGTGTTGGCGTGGGGGATGCCGGCTAGTATCGTTACGGTTCTCCAGCGGAGGGTTTCCTTGACCTGTGGTGTGTTAGATGTAGAGTCAAATTTGGGATACCTGTAACTTACCACTGCAGTCAAGTATGGCAGTGCATTGGAGTCGATGTCATCCCAGTTTGGAGAGCGATTATGTCCGACGACTGCATCGAACTCAGCGTGTACCTTGTCCTGCACCTCCGGAAAGCGCGCCATTGCCAGGATGCAGGATAACATAGTGCTGCTAGTCGTGTCCACCCCACCACCAATCAGGTTACCCATCAGGCTCGCAACTTCAAGATCGGTCATGTGGCTGGCTTGTTGAGATGCCATAACGTGTTTCCCAAAGTTATCCTCCTTCGCTTCAGCACCTTCCTGCGTAAGCAGGTAGAAGTAGCGCGACAGTATACCAGCACCCAATCGCATCTGGCTCGGTAACGCGTAGAGCCAAGCGGGCAAATGCATCAGGAACGGGATGGCTTCCATGAGATAGATACCAGGGACGATGTAGTTAACAGCTTCCATCAGTTCGAGGGCTTGTTGCGCAACGTAGTCGTTCTTGCGATCGATGCGACGACCCCAGCCGACAATCGAGGTGATGGATACAGAGTAACGCTCGATGGACAGCTCAAAGTCGTGTGGTTCAAGGAGGAAGTCGCGGATCAGGATCGCGGACTCGTGCGCTTGGAATGTGCGATATTTGCGCACGGCTTGGGAGCCGACGGCCATGTGCTACGCTATTAGCTCGTTGTACGTACAGCAAGCGAGGCAACGCAGGGTAACATACCATGAGCTTTCGGTGTTTCCTCCATCGATCCCCATACGGCAACGTAGTCTGGTTCGTGTTTGTCGCGTTGATTGCATCGCCCATGGCAATGATTCTTGGTCTGCTCGAAAAGATGTCTGATCTCTTCTCTAGCAAGTCACTTGCGACCCACGCATCGCTCAATATGATGCGCGGGTGCCGTCCGATCCAGAGAGTCACCATAGGTGAATTGTAGTGCTGAGCCCATTTCTCCCATGTAATCCAAGGTTTGTACGATGGCGTTTGGAAGTGGTTGCCAACGATGGGGAATGGGAAGGGGCCTGGAGGGAGATAACGGCGACGCCATAGCATGTGGATGTAGTCGGCGACCAAGCCGATCGAGGCGAAGAAGACGATAATTGGAACAAGCTGAAGCATTTTGTCAGAGGCAATCCATGTACTGCACTTGAGCGTGATGTAACTATGAGGGTATCGTTATTACTACTATTTATACGATGCAAAGGCAGACGGTCCAGTTAGTCAAATCGACATCTCAACGCTCTGGGGAGCTCAAGACTATCCCAACGATGCCAAGAATTCACTGGAATCGATGCCGATTTTCCAGTGCAGCCTTGGATGCTGTGATACGCATGCGCGGGGACAACGAGGGGACGTGCGGAGAAGCGAGCAATGTGGGGTCGGACCGATGACCCAGCTGACGAGCGCGTGGGATACTCTCTAATTCCCCGACACTTTCAACAGTCTTTCACCTTCTTCATTTCCATCTTTGTTCGCCGCTCCTCGCGTTGGAACTCTCGTCTTCGCTCCATGTGTGCCTCCTAGCGACCGTTAATGGCTTTATCTCTGGCGTCAAAAGGGCTAGCTGAGCGGCGTGTGTAATTGGCGCGATCTTTCCAGTGCTGACATACAATGTGGCGGAGACGGTCTTCGTTCTGTGGTCTTTCTTTCGCATCGAGATGTCGTTGTATTACAGCGCATTGGCTGACGTCTTCGCGCGCACCGCTCTACGGATTGGAGAGCGTCGGGCAGGTCGCCGAAGTTGTTGACATTGATGCTATCATCGCGCGGTCCTCTTCCACCAGACGCTTTTATATCTTCGTTATCCTGCTTTTTCCGGCAGTGTCTACTCTCGATATGGGTGTATCTCGAACGAACTCAGGCAGCTCCGTTTCTCCCATTCGGCGAACGTCATAGCGCCGCAGTCCGGGCAGAGCGGTAGTGCGTCCTCATGTCTCCTCCACGGTTTGCGCATTTGGTTTCGAAAACCAGCGGGCTTCCCCGTTTGCTCGATGTCGCTGCGGGACAAGACGTTAGAGAGACGGTTGTAGAACGCGATTAGTGACGCATGCAGAGTGCGCGATAGGCGTGGGATCAGGTATCGTGACTGGCAGGTTAGTGTTGGTGCGGGTGGCAGGTGCGGTCGCGAGGTCACGTACATTTTGGGGATTAGGCAGTTGCGGCGCAGCTTGGTCGTACTTTCGCTCGAGTAGTGACGCTGAGAAGCTTGTTGTGGACATCGTGGTATGGCGGTGTTGATTGTTGGGTGATGAGGTGGTCGGAAGAGAAGGATGCAGATGCGGTGATGTAGGAGGAAGGAGCGCATTAGCATGGGGATTAAGCATTTGTAATACCCCAGGCACCAGCATTACCACATGACCCGGGGACGCTTCGATGAGCGTTTTATCGGGGTGCTGAAGTCGGGTAGTCGTCCTGTGGTTCATCTTGGCTGCTAGGCTGGGTGGACCACTCACAACTTAACACCAAACCTGAATGCGGAAATACCTAAGATGTGTTGGGTATGTCGCAAACTTCAAGAAGAAGCACACATCAAACCGCAGCTCGTGATCGGAGGAGCAAGCGATGGAGACGCAGGCGACGCTTAAAGGCACAAAGTCGCCGGTAATAGTCGAACTACCAGAGTCGAAGACCCGTACCAGCCATGGCGACGGTGAACCCCGAGATAGTCGATACGCTCCCAGCAATCGTGAAGCTAGTAGACCAGCTGATCTCCACACACGAAGCCCGAGATGGAACGCTTGACTCACCCATCATCCACCTCTCTCTCGAAGGCGCAGACCTATGCCGCTCGGGCACGATCTCTATCCTCACTCTCTTGCTCTGCGAAGACCCTCAGTCGCAACAAACCTACCTCGTCGACGTGCATAAGCTCGGCGCATACGCATTCAGTACTGTGGGTACGATGAGGACGACACTGAAAGACATACTGCAGAATGGAAAGATCCCCAAGGTTTTCTTCGACGTCCGCAATGATTCCGACGCGCTGTTCGCGCGTTTCGGCATCGCCCTACAAGGGGTGCAGGACGTACAGCTTATGGACAGTGCGGCGAGAGAGAAAAGGGCAGAGCGTGAGTATCTCAGTGAACTGCCCCGTTGCGTGGAGCAGAACAGTATAGTCTCATTTCACCGCTACAACACTTGGTGCAGAGATAGGACCGCGGGCGAGCTGGTATTCAGGGTCGAATTTGGCGGGTCGCGCGAAGCCTTCAGCATGCGGCCTCTTGCCGATGATATCGTCTCATACTGTGTGGGCGAGGTCATGTGGCTTCCGGAATTGCGTAACAAGCTCTGGGGGACGCGTACGCAGGAATGGCGGGACTTTGTGCGCGACGAGACGGAGAGACGAGTCGCGTATACTCATGGGGCCGATTATCAGCCTGGTGGGACGGATTGGGTGCTGGCGCCGTGGAATGACGAGCAGAACAGGGTGCTGGACAGGTTGAACGGCGCCCGTGATTTTGATGGCTTGCTAGATGACGACGAGGTTGACGAGGACGTAGAGTGAATACCAAGGCCCCCCTTCATGGGCGTTCCGATGTGGCGAGCACACAAGCAATGTCAACAGAAACCATGATAGTGTGAGCCCGTAGAATGTGAAGCATACATCCACAAGCGCGACGGAAGTGCGATATACAATAATGTACATATCTACATACCCCCTTCACCTTCCACTCACGCCGTCCTCTCACTATGCACCTCCTCATCATCCTCCTTCTTCGTAGTCTCATACCTCTTACCACGGAAAGAGTACACGCCCCAGTTACTGCACGTAACATCATGCGGGTCCAGGTCATTAAGATCCCATCTCAGACTCCTGAACAAGTTCTCGCCGGGCTCGAGCAACATGTCCATCTCATTCCCGAACCTGTTCTTGAGGAAGTCGACATCCTGCTGCATATCCCATGGGCTGTATCCAGTAGCGATGATAGGCACCTTCGTCTCCAGAAGGAGAGGTAGCGTCTCCTCCCACTCGTGCGCGGAGGCGGGGTTACCGAAACCGGGGTGGAAAACGACGAAGCAGTCGAAGTAGGGGTCGTAGGGGTAGAAATAGCCCGTCTTGTGGATGTTGTGGTAGTACTCGACGAACGTACTAATCTTCAGCGAGTTGCTAATGCGGTCCTCAACAACGGCGCCGAACGGGTTCAGAGGCGTGCGCTCGGGGAGAGGCAGTTCCTTCTCGCGGTTCGCCATGCTCTCGGGCCCGATGAAGTTGAGCGAAAATTGTACGCGGTGGAAAAGGTACGAGAGTTGCATCCAGGTTTCGCGGGGTAGCGAGGATTCTGCGCGGGCGCCGAGGATGAAGAGGCGGACCGAAGGGGGTGCGAGGCGCGCGTTCTTCCAGGTGTCGCCGCCGCCGGTTCGGGGTGGGTGGAGGGTGTGGCGGAGGGCTGAGGTTGTGTTAGTATTGTCTCAGCTCTATGGGTGATGGGAACGTACCGCTGAAGCTCTTCAGTCCCTCCGGCGTCATGCGCCCGTTCTTCCGGATGTTGTAGGGACTCAGCTCGTTCAGGACACTCGCAATCGTGATAGGGTATGTCAACAGCTTTGTCGCCTGGCGCATCTCTCGGTCCTCATTCAGCGCATCGAAGTCTCGCGTGTACATGTACGTGTCCCAGCTCGTCATGTTGACCAGAATCTCCTCCATCTGGGGCTCCGCGAACTGGAACTCCTTGAAGAACCGCCCGCTTCTCAGATCGTGATCGTCCTCGTTGATCTGCTTCAAGACGTCACACACTTCCAGATGCGCCTCGTAGTCGTCCGCCCAATGTTCCTCGCAGCAGTATACAGGTATGCCGCAGTCCGGGCACTCGAAATCGACATGGGCGGGCGGGGCGCCGGTCTCAGAGGACTTGCGCGCCTCAAGATCCATGGGGTTGTTCGCCGGACGCGTCGGCTGATGCGAGGGATGTGGGCAGTAAGCATGCTGGCGCATGAAAGCAGCACGCTTCCGTATTTCAGGTATTGGCGAGCCGGAGAAGGAATTGAAGAGGTTGTCCTCGGTCAGGACCAGCTTCCGCCGATGGCCCTCGGGATCGATGTATTCATACGGCTCGAACGGCTTCTCGAAAGCCCGGGCCGGCGTCGTCGAGAGGCTGCGCTTGGGCAGGGCAAGCTTTGGCGGTGCTGCACTTTTGGTCGAGTGACTGCGTTGCGACGAGACTTTGGGCGCGAGTGGGCGAAGGCCCTGCGACGGCCGTAATTGCGACCGCGGCGTCTTCAGCGCCGAGAGGCACTGTCGGCAGGTGTACGGCGTCCTCATCTTGGGCTGTCGACTCGCAATTGGTGTTGGCGGGCTGCTGCCATATCGTGACATGAGGGTCCGCGAATGTTAGCGCGGTCCCGGCCAATCCAAACGCCGATTGGCTGCCTGCCTCGACGAAGACATCATCACCCGCCGCCGCCTGGTCGTACTCAACACCAAAGTCACTTCATCGCAACATCGACGCGCTTTATTCTCGCATCTGAGTCCAAGGATGCCGCAGCGCGCGAATTGTGTCATATTGCTCAGGGTGTCGATGACAGCGACGTGCCATTTGTCCAGCTTCGAGTCCATTTGAAGCGCCGTTCCACGAAGCTGCTCAACTCCCAGCTGGTGTACTGAGCTTACATGCTTCGATCAACCTGGAGGCGTAGACATACGAAACAATACAGAATGCATTGACGAATTATCGATCCCTCCATGGTGTTGTCCATATCCCTCGGTCGTAGCTGATGCGGAATTTGGACCCGACGTAATTGACCTATCAGCGACCAATGATGCTGGCTCCAATGCTCGGCCTCTTTTGCGCGGTACTTGCTAGTCCTAGATGGATATCCCAAATGTCCCACCGGAAGAACAACTCCCTGAACGTTGTTCACGGAGGATCTTTATAGCGATCGCCATCTGCACATACTGTACTTCCCCGCAACTAACCCCGGAAAAGATCCAAGCCCGCTGCACAACGTCACATGGATCGCCAACATACAATAAAACCACCACGGCGCCGTGTTGCGATCATGATCAAGGCCGCTTCAAACCAATCTGTCAATACCGACAATGCGGTTATCCCAGATTGGATCGCTTTTAGCGACCTGTGGGTTGGTTGACTGGTCAAATGCGAAATCACTATGGTCGACAGTTCCTGCGGATGGTAGCGACATCATCCGTACCACCTATCCTCTTGGAAATGGACGTCTTGGTGCCATGCCGATTGGCGCACCCGGTGCTGAGACGCTCACCTTGAACCTGGATACACTGTGGTCAGGAGGTCCCTTCAATGCATCGGTAAGCTAAGCTAACGCTATCCTGAAAATCAACCTAACACATCAGATAGAACTACACGGGCGGTAATCCGACCTCTTCCAAAGCAGAAGCATTACCGGGCATCCGAGACTGGATCTTCACCAATGGGACCGGAAACGTGACGGAGCTGCTGGGCTTGGACGCTTCGTATGGCTCGTACCAAGTGCTAGGAAACATGAGCGTGACTATCCCTTCATTAGCAGGTGCCGATGTTACCGACTATATGCGGGCATTGAACCTGAGCAATGGCGTCCACACCACTGCATTCAGCGTGAACGGTAGCCTTGTCGAGACCGAAGCGTTCTGCTCGTTTCCAGATCAAGTCTGCGTCTATTCGGTTCGCTCGTCAGGTGAGCTGCCAGCGCTGGAGGTGAGACTGGACAATGCACTCATTGAGCCGGAGCTGCGCAACACGACATGCGTTGCCGGTAATGCGACGAGTCCAGGACATCTCAGAATGAGCGCCCTGACGCAGCTTGGCCCACCTGAAGGTATGCGATACGACGCGATGGCACGAGTTGCATCCGACGCCGGCGTCGAAGTCGTATGTGATGGTGAAGCCAAGTCTTTGATGGTATCCTCGCGCAACGGTACGAACAGCGTCACGATAGTTGTCGGCGCTGAAACGAACTACGATGCAAAGAAGGGAACAGCGGAGTACGATTACACCTTCAGGGGCGAAGATCCAGGCCCAGTCGTCGAGGCCACAACGCTTGCCGCCGCCGCGAGACTCTTGTCCGATCTACAAAGGCGTCACATGGAGAACTTCACTTCTCTTACTGACCGCTTCACGCTATCTCTTCCTGATCCTTTCAACTCATCACAAGTGCCCATATCCGAGCTTGTCGCACGTTATAACGCCAATAGCACAGCCGGCGATCCATACCTCGAGAGCCTGCTCTTTGACTATTCACGATATCTCTTCATCGCCAGCTCGCGACCAGGCTCTCTTCCCCCGAACCTTCAAGGACGATGGGCCGAAAGCCTCGAACCAGCTTGGTCGGCCGACTACCATTCCAACATCAACATCCAAATGAACCATTGGACCGCCGACCAAATGGGCTTGACTGATCTACAATCACCGCTATGGGACTACATGTCTGACAACTGGGTTCCGCGCGGCAGCGAGACTGCCGAGCTGCTGTATGGCGCACCTGGCTGGGTGGTTCACAACGAGATGAACATCTTCGGCCACACGGGCATGAAGAGCGGAGCTGAGTGGGCGAATTATCCGCTTTCTGCAGCTTGGATGATGCAGCATGTCTTCGATCATTGGGACTACTCGCGCGACGAAGCCTGGTTGCGTGATCAGGGCTACCCGCTGATGAAGGGTGTTGCCGAATTCTGGCTCAGCCAGCTGCAAGAAGATCGGTTCAACAACGACGGCTCGCTGGTCGTGAACCCATGCAACAGCCCTGAGCATGGCCCTACAACATTCGGATGCGCGCACTACCAGCAACTCATCCACCAGGTCTTCGACGCCATCCTTTCCACTGCCCCCACCGTCAATGAGGCCGACAGCGCATTCATCACCAACATCACCGCTTCGCTCCAACGGCTCGACAAAGGCTTCGCAATCGGTACATGGGGCCAGATCAAAGAATGGAAGCTACCCGAGGAACCCTACGGCCTGGAATTCATCAACGATACCCACCGCCACCTTTCCGAACTGGTAGGCTGGTACCCCGGCTACTCAATCTCCTCCTTCCTTGACGGCTACACCGACACCGCAGTCCAAGACGCCGTTCGCCAGAAACTGTACAGCCGTGGCAACGGCAACGGCGAGGCTCTCAACCAGGCGAATGCCGGATGGGCCAAGGTTTGGCGTGCCGCTTGCTGGGCTCGCCTCAACGAAACGGACGAAGCGTACTACGAGCTCAGATATGCGATTGAACAGAACTTTGCGGGTAATGGGTTGAGTATGTATGATGGGGATAGGACTCCGTTTCAAATTGACGCGAACTTTGGGTTTGGAGGCGCGGTGTTGAGTATGCTTGTTGCGGATATGCCGTTGGCTGCGGGGGATATGAGGGAGAGGACTGTGGTGCTGGGCCCGGCGATTCCGAAGAGTTGGGGTGGGGGGAGTGTGAAGGGGTTAAGGTTGAGAGGCGGTGGGGTTGTGGACTTTGGGTGGGATGATGAGGGTGTGGTTGGGGAGGTGGAGGTCGATGGGAGGTTGGATGGGGTGAGGATTGTGGATAAGCATGGGAAGGTGCTCGTGA